CTACACGGAGAACCGTAAAAGTGCTGGAATCCGCCTCTCAGACGCTCAGGATGGTCTGCAAGCATGGTCCAAGATGGACTCCCAGGCGACTTACGACGGTTGAGTAATAGTCTCCCAGATGACCAAGATAGCCCCATAGGTGCCCAAAGATGCCCCCAAGACGCCTCCAAGACTGCTCAAGAGGCCGCCAGAAGTCCCAAGAGGGCTCCAACAGGACCTCCAGGAGGCAAAACTATGTGATTGTCAGTTGGCTTTTCAATAGTATTCGCGTTCTCGCAATTTGAGGCTTCTGACATCCGCAGAAGGCCCTCAAGATAGCCCAATGATGGTCACAAACCCACAAGCGGGCCCCAAGGCGGGCCCAAGAGCATTATCGCCTTGTCGGGCTTCCGACGCTCCACGACGGCCCAAGAGGTTCCCAATATCGCCCCAAGACAGCCCAAGAGGCCCGCAGGACGGCCAAAGAGGGCCCAAAGACGGCCCATGAAGCGGCCAAGACGGCCCCAAGACGACCCCAGACCTTCAAGACTGCCCAAAAGCAACCATAGAGGGCCCCACGACGGCCCAGAAGTGTCCCCAAGACGGCCTCCGAAGGCCAACAGGCCCATCAGAGGCCGTAAGAAGCTCACAAAAGTCCCCCAAGACGACCCCAAGATGCTCCGAGAAGCCCCACTAGAGGACCCCAAGAGGCCCCGAGAGGCCCCCGAAAGGCCCCGAAAGGCCCCGAGGCCCCAAGAGGACTTCGAAAAGCTTCATGTTCCTCCACCTCCTCCGTCTCTGGTTCCTCTCCTCCTCCTCCTCATCCTCCTCCTCATCCTCCTCCTCCTTCTCCTCCGCCTCCTCCTCCTCCTCCTCCTCCTCCTCCTCCCTTCCACACGTGTTGCTCCAACGGTTTCTACAACAGCTAGGGGAACACGTAGCCCAATAGTTTGGCAAGACTCCAGCCCAACGTTTAGCCACATAGAGTGTCCAAAAGGCACTGGGCGGCGGTGGTTCGCCGTAGGCGTCTTCGACAACAAAGGCTCCCAAGACCGATGTCGTGCTGGACAGTGTCGTGGCGGTGCCGGTGCCAGCGGTAAGCGATGTGGTGCTGGTAATGGTGATGCTGGAGACGCTAGACGATGAGGTGCTCGAGCTCGTTGTCCTCGTACTGGTGTCTGAGGAGCGCGTGGTGCTTGACGTTATCGCAGTGATGGTAGCAGTGCTTCCCGTGGTGCTCGTCGCTGTGATGGTCGTACTCGTCGCCGAGACGCTTGAGACAGTGAGTGACCGTGTGCTTGCCGTGCTGGAGAGCGTGGTGCCCGTGCTGGTAACGGTGCTTCGTGTAGAGCTGCTCGTTTCCGTTGCAGTACTGCTTGCCACGGAGGTAGTGGAGCTGGTAAGCGATGTGGTGCTGGTAATGGTGATGCTCGAGACGCTAGACGATGAGGTGCTCAAGCTCGTTGTCCTCGTACTGGTGTCTGAGGAGCGCGTGGTGCTTGAAGTTGTTGTGGCAGTGCTGGTAGCAGAGCTTCCCGTGGTGCTGCTCGTTGCTGTGGTACCGGACGTCGTGGTTGAAACACTACTTATAGTGCTTGATGTTTGTGTTGTGCTAGATTCAGAAGTAGCCGTGATGGTACTCGCTGTCGTCGTAGTTGTGGACGAGGTGGGAGACACCGTCGTTGCCGTGCTGGAGAGCGTGGTGCCCGTGCTGGTAACGGTGCTTCGTGTAGAGCTGCTTGTTTCCGTTGCAGTACTGCTTGTCACCGTGGTAGTGGAGCTGGTAAGCGATGTGATGCTTGTAATGGTGATGCTGGAGACGCTAGACGATGAGGTGCTCGAGCTCGTTGTCCTCGTACTGGTGTCTGAGGAGCGCGTGGTGCTTGAAGTTGTTGTGGCAGTACTTGTAGCAGTGCTTCCAGTTGTGCTCGTCGCTGTGATGGTCGTACTCGTCGCCGAGACGCTTGAGACAGTGAGTGACAAAGTGCTTGCTGTGCTGGAGAGCGTCGTGCCCGTGCTGGTAACGGTGCTTCGTGTAGAGCTGCTCGTTTCCGTTGCAGTACTGCTTGTCACCGTGGTAGTGGAGCTGGTAAGCGATGTGGTGCTGGTAATGGTGATGCTGGAGACGCTAGACGATGAGGTGCTCGAGCTCGTTGATCTCGTACTGGTGTCTGAGGAGCGCGTGGTGCTTGAAGTCGTTGTGGCAGTGCTGGTAGCAGTGCTTCCCGTGGTGCTCGTTGCTGTGATGGTCGTACTCGTCGCCGAGACGCTTGAGAAAGTGAGTGACAAAGTGCTTGCTGTGCTGGAGAGCGTCGTGCCCGTGCTGGTAACGGTGCTTCGTGTAGAGCTGCTCGTTTCCGTTGCAGTACCGCTTGTCGCGGAGGTAGTGGAGCTGGTAAGTGATGTGATGCTCGTAATGGTGATGCTGGAGACGCTAGACGATGAGGTGCTCGAGCTCGTTGATCTCGTACTGGTGTCTGAGGAGCGCGTGGTGCTTGAAGTTGTTGTGGCAGTGCTGCTAGCAGTGCTTCCCGTGGTGCTCGTTGCTGTGATGGTCGTACTCGTCGCCGAGACGCTTGAGACAGTGAGTGACCGTGTGCTTGCCGTGCTGGAGAGCGTGGTGCCCGTGCTGGTAACGGTGCTTCGTGTAGAGCTGCTCGTTTCCGTTGCAGTACTGCTTGTCACCGTGGTAGTGGAGCTGGTAAGCGATGTGGTGCTGGTAATGGTGATGCTCGAGACGCTAGACGATGAGGTGCTCGAGCTCGTTGTCCTCGTACTGGTGTCTGAGGAGCGCGTGGTGCTTGAAGTTGTTGTGGCAGTGCTGGTAGCAGAGCTTCCCGTGGTGCTGCTCGTTGCTGTGGTACCGGACGTCGTGGTTGAAACACTACTTATAGTGCTTGATGTTTGTGTTGTGCTAGATTCAGAAGTAGCCGTGATGGTACTCGCTGTCGTCGTAGTTGTGGAAGAGGTGGGAGACACCGTCGTTGCCGTGCTGGAGAGCGTGGTGCCCGTGCTGGTAACGGTGCTTCGTGTAGAGCTGCTTGTTTCCGTTGCAGTACTGCTTGTCACCGTGGTAGTGTAGCTGGTAAGCGATGTGATGCTTGTAATGGTGATGCTGGAGACGCTAGACGATGAGGTGCTCGAGCTCGTTGTCCTCGTACTGGTGTCTGAGGAGCGCGTGGTGCTTGAAGTTGTTGTGGCAGTACTCGTAGCAGTGCTTCCGGTTGTGCTCGTCGCTGTGATGGTCGTACTCGTCGCCGAGACGCTTGAGACAGTGAGTGACAAAGTGCTTGCTGTGCTGGAGAGCGTCGTGCCCGTGCTGGTAACGGTGCTTCGTGTAGAGCTGCTCGTTTCCGTTGCAGTACTGCTTGCCACGGAGGTAGTGGAGCTGGTAAGCGATGTGGTGCTGGTAATGGTGATGCTGGAGACGCTAGACGATGAGGTGCTCGAGCTCGTTGTCCTCGTACTGGTGTCTGAGGAGCGCGTGGTGCTCGAAGTTGTTGTGGCAGTGCTGGTAGCAGAGCTTCCCGTGGTGCTGCTCGTTGCTGTGGTACCGGACGTCGTGGTTGAAACACTACTTATAGTGCTTGATGTTTGTGTTGTGCTAGATTCAGAAGTAGCCGTGATGGTACTCGTTGTCGTCACAGTTGTGGAAGAGGTGGGGGACACCGTCGTTGCCGTGCTGGAGAGCGTGGTGCCCGTGCTGGTAACGGTGCTTCGTGTGGAGCTGCTTGTTTCCGTTGCAGTACTGCTTGTCACGGAGGTAGTGAAGCTGGTAAGCGACGTGATGCTCGTAATGGTGATGCTGGAGACGCTAGACGATGAGGTGCTCGAGCTCGTTGTCCTCGTACTGGTGTCTGAGGAGCGCGTGGTGCTTGAAGTTGTTGTGGCAGTACTCGTAGCAGTGCTTCCGGTGGTGCTCGTTGCTGTGATGGTCGTACTCGTCGCCGACACGCTTGAGAAAGTGAGTGACAAAGTGCTTGCTGTGCTGGAGAGCGTCGTGCCCGTGTTGGTAACGGTGCTTCGTGTGGAGCTGCTCGTTTCCGTCGCAGTACTGCTTGTCGCGGAGGTAGTGGAGCTGGTAAGTGATGTGATGCTCGTAATGGTGCTGCTGGAGACGCTAGACGATGAGGTGCTCGAGCTCGTTGTCCTCGTACTGGTGTCTGAGGAGCGCGTGGTGCTTGAAGTTGTTGTGGCAGTGCTGGTGGCAGTGCTTCCCGTGGTGCTCGTTGCTGTGATGGTAGTACTCGTCGCCGAGACGCTTGAGAAAGTGAGTGACAAAGTGCTTGCTGTGCTGGAGAGCGTCGTGCCCGTGCTGGTAACGGTGCTTCGTGTGGAGCTGCTCGTTTCCGTCGCAGTACTGCTTGTCACGGAGGTAGTGGAGCTGGTAAGCGATGTGATGCTCGTAATGGTGATGCTGGAGACGCTAGACGATGAGGTTCTCGAGCTCGTTGTCCTCGTACTGGTGTCTGAGGAGCGCGTGGTGCTTGAAGTCGTTGTGGCAGTGCTGGTGGCAGTGCTTCCCGTGGTGCTCGTTGCTGTGATGGTCGTACTCGTCGCCGAGACGCTTGAGAAAGTGAGTGACAAAGTGCTTGCTGTGCTGGAGAGCGTCGTGCCCGTGCTGGTAACGGTGCTTCGTGTAGAGCTGCTCGTTTCTGTTGCAGTACTGCTTGTCACGGAGGTAGTGGAGCTGGTAAGCGATGTGATGCTCGTAATGGTGCTGCTGGAGACGCTAGACGATGAGGTGCTCGAGCTCGTTGTCCTCGTACTGGTGTCTGAGGTGCGCGTGGTGCTTGAAGTTGTTGTGGCAGTACTCGTAGCAGTGCTTCCAGTGGTGCTCGTTGCTGTGATGGTCGTACTCGTCGCCGAGACGCTTGAGAAAGTGAGTGACAAAGTGCTTGCTGTGCTGGAGAGCGTCGTGCCCGTGCTGGTAACGGTGCTTCGTGTGGAGCTGCTCGTTTCCGTCGCAGTACTGCTTGTCACGGAGGTAGTGGAGCTGGTAAGCGATGTGATGCTCGTAATGGTGATGCTGGAGACGCTAGACGATGAGGTTCTCGAGCTCGTTGTCCTCGTACTGGTGTCTGAGGAGCGCGTGGTGCTTGAAGTCGTTGTGGCAGTGCTGGTGGCAGTGCTTCCCGTGGTGCTCGTTGCTGTGATGGTCGTACTCGTCGCCGAGACGCTTGAGAAAGTGAGTGACAAAGTGCTTGCTGTGCTGGAGAGCGTCGTGCCCGTGCTGGTAACGGTGCTTCGTGTAGAGCTGCTCGTTTCTGTTGCAGTACTGCTTGTCACGGAGGTAGTGGAGCTGGTAAGCGATGTGATGCTTGTAATGGTGATGCTGGAGACGCTAGACGATGAGGTTCTCGAGCTCGTTGTCCTCGTACTGGTGTCTGAGGAGCGCGTGGTGCTTGAAGTCGTTGTGGCAGTGCTGGTGGCAGTGCTTCCCGTGGTGCTCGTTGCTGTGATGGTCGTACTCGTCGCCGAGACGCTTGAGAAAGTGAGTGACAAAGTGCTTGCTGTGCTGGAGAGCGTCGTGCCCGTGCTGGTAACGGTGCTTCGTGTGGAGCTGCTCGTTTCTGTTGCAGTACTGCTTGTCACGGAGGTAGTGGAGCTGGTAAGCGATGTGATGCTCGTAATGGTGATGCTGGAGACGCTAGACGATGAGGTTCTCGAGCTCGTTGTCCTCGTACTGGTGTCTGAGGAGCGCGTGGTGCTTGACGTTGTGGCAGTGATGGTAGCAGAGCTTCCCGTGGTGCTCGTTGCTGTGATTGCAGAGAGAGCACGTTTCACGGGCTCTTGCCTTTGGAACATTCGGCGGCGCGTTTCGAACCGGGGGGTGGGCCCTCCCCCCAACACTCGGCGCCGTCGATCAGAACCAGGGGGACTCCCCTCCCCCCTAACCCCCCCCTCCCGAAACACCCCCCCGGCGCTGGCGCCGGCGCTGGCGGCCGCCGCAGCGCCAACGCAGCGACGATGACTAGAGAGTGCCCAGGAGGGGGGGGGTTCAAACCCCCGCCCTCCCCGCGCCGGCGCCGGCGCTGGCGCTGGCGGCGTCCAGCAGCGCCAACAGCGGGGACGCAGCGACGATGACCAGAGAGGGCCCAGAGGCCGCAGAGGGAACACACAAATCGCCATATCGAGCCCTCGCATGCTCCCCAGACGCCCCCGAGACCCTTCTGACGAGACCTCAAGAGGCATCCATTAGAACTCTGCCCTTGCCGAAACAGAGTGGCGGGAAGAGCCGAAGGCCACGCCACCACCACCACCACCGCCACCACCGCCACCACCACAACCACCACCACAACCACCACAACCCACCATCACCACAACCACCACCATCACCACAAACCACCTCACCACCACCACCAAAAACGCCACCACCACCACCACAAACCACCACAACCCACCACAACCACCACCACCACCACAAACCACCACACCATTACCATAACCATCACCACCACCGCCACAACCACCACCATCACCACAACCCACCACCAACACCACAACCACAAACCACCACACCACCACCACAACCACTACTACCACCACCCCTACCACCGCCCACCACCGACTACCCACCACCACCACCACCAGCACCCTTCCAGCAGCAACACCACCACCACCACCACCAACACCACAGCACACCACCACCACAACCACCACCACAAACCACCACGCCACCACCACCACCACCACCGCCACCACCACGACTACCATCACGACCACCACCATCACCACCTCAACCCACCAGCACCACTGCAACCAAACCACCACACAACCACCACCACCACAACCACTACGACCACCACCACAACAGCTCACCACCACCACCACCACCAATACAACAACCCACCACCATTACCACCACCACCACCGCCACAACCACCACCACTACTATCAGCAATACAACCCACCACCATCGCCACAACCACCACAAACCACCTCACCACCACCACCACCGCCACTACCACCACCACCAGCACCCCCGTCGCCGCCGCCGCCAGCCGCCGACGTCGGCGCCGCCGGCCCGAGGAGAGGGAGAGAGGAGAAGTGGGGGAGGGTCGAAGCCCCCCCGGGGGGGGGGTCGAAACCCCCCATGAGAGCGTTTCTTTATGTTCGGCGATGATGGGCGTCATGGGGGGGGCGGGGCGGAGGGGGGGGGGCGGGCGGGGGGGTATGACGTAACGCCCACCCCCCCCCGCCGTGTGGCTCCGGCACCACAGCCGCGCCCGCGCGCACGACGCGACGAGCGACGAGCGACGGGCGACGACGGCGACGACGACGGCGACGACGACGAGGACGACGCGAGCAAAATGTAGGTGGCGATATGCCCCACGGCGCCTGCGCGCGAACACCACAACACCTGCGTACACCGCGAGAACCGTGTGCAACGCAGCGCTTGTGTACACAACAATGTTTGCGTACACTACAGCGATGGTATACATGTGTACACCGCAGCAACCATGTGCAACAGAGCGCGCCTGTGTACACCACTATGCTTGCGTGCACCGCAGCGCCTGTGCACGCCACAGCGCCTGTCTACACCACAGCATCCGCGTGCAACGCAGCGCGACTGTACACCAGTGCTTGCGTGCAGGACAGTGCTGACAATCGAATGCGACGTTATTCCCTCTTCCCTCCTCCTCGTCCTCCACCTCCACCTCCACATCCTTTTCCTCCTCCTCCTCTTCGTCGTCCTCCTCCTCCTCCTCCTGCTCCTTTTCCTCCTCCTTGCCCCCTGTCGTGCGGGGTGGCGCTACAGCGCACCTGCGCAATTCAGCACGCAGTGCAGCGCATAATGGTCGATTGAATCGGTCCACTTGGTTCTCGCACGGCCAATTTAGCTGGAGCCTCCTGGACGCAGATGGGAAAAGTTAGGGTGATGCGAGCGGATTCCAGCGGCGCTCCTTTGTCCATCAGGATTCCTTTGTATTGTTGTCTGTGGAATCCACAAGCGCTCAAACAATTTTGTCATCATACGGATTTCTTCTAACATTCGATATGTAAGTGTGGTGCTGTGTTGCACACGGCTGCGGTGGTGCACACAGGCGCCGTGGTGTACACAGGCACTGCAATGCACGCAGGCATTATGGTGTACACCGGGGCTGTGTTGCACACGGCTGGTGTGGTGTACGCAGTCGCTGCGGTGTACACAACAGCTGCTGTGCCCGCGAGCACGGTGGCACAAGCTGACGCTGTGTTGCACGCGGCTGTCGTGATGTACATACGCGGTGTGGTGTACACAGGCGCTGTGGTGCACGCAGGCACTGTGGTGTACACAGGCGTTGTGGTGCAGATCGCCACCTACATGCTGGTGCTACCCGTCCTCCGTCACTCCTAGGCATTCCCAGGCGCCGCCGGCGCGAAACATGATGTCATCGACCCCCTCCACACCCCCTCAGATGATTGCCGTGATCGGCCCAGAACAAATAACAGGCTCCAGCCGCGTCCGTGCGCACGACGACGATGAGCGACGAGCCACGAGCGATGACGACGACGACGACGACGACGACGATGACGACGACGATGACGACGACTGCACGACTGCGGACCACTCCTATGCGGATTCTTACGCGGACACCTACGCGGATCCCAGCGCGCACGGCGGCAGTGCCCGGAGCGCACTGAGGGGGGGGAGCGTTACGTCATGGGGGGGGGAGCGGGGGCCATGACGCCCGTCATGCCCCAAGCAATAAAGAAATAGTCTCCATCCCCCCTCCGTCACGGGAGGGGGGAGGGGGTTCGAACCCCCCCCCTTCATCCAGGGGGCAGGGTGGTCCGGTTCCAAGCACCCCCCCTCCCCTGCAAGCGACCACAGAACGCGCTCTTTCTGATGGTAGTACTCGTCGCCGAGGCGCTTGAGACAGTGAGTGACAAAGTGCTTGCCGTGCTGGAGAGCGTCGTACCCGTGCTGGTAACGGTGCTTCGTGTAGAGCTGCTCGTTTCCGTTCCAGTACTGCTTGTCACGGATGTAGTGAAGCTGGTAAGTGATGTGATGCTCGTAAGGGTGATGCTAGAGACGCTAGACGATGAAGTGCTCGCGCTCGTTGTCCCGGTGCTGCCAGTTGTCAAGCTGCTGGAGGCAGTACGTGATGTGGTGGTTTCTGTATTTGACCTTGTGGTAGCAGTCTTACTCGTCAGTGTGGAAGTCGAGGTCGAGCAAGTGCAGTCGCATTGGTCAATGAATTCCGCCAGTCCACCTCAGATGGCTTCAGGCTGAAAGGGAGACAGGGCAAAATTGCGTCAGTGCCAACTTGACTCGCTGACTCTGGTCGGATAAGACATCGAACCTGGTGCGAAATCACTCGATTTTGTCTGAACGGACAAAAACGTTAGCCAGCGTGGAACCCAAACAGTAAGTTGTTGCACTGTGGATGTGCAAGCTATGCGGTGCAAGCTATATGGCGTAAGCCACGTAAGTGGTGCAGTAAACGCGGTACAAGCTAAAGGCGGCAACGAAGCGGCAACGGGCGGCAATGTGGCGAAACCCCGCCGGACCCACCCAGCGCACGGGGCGGCAGCGAGGCGACAACGAGGCGGCAGCGTGGCGAAACCTCGCCGGACTCGCCCAGCGCACGGGGCGGCAGCGAGGCGGCGAAGAGGCGGCAACGGGGCGACAACGTGGCGGAACCTCGCCGAACCCACCTGGCGCACGCGGCGGCCACGAGGCGGAAGTGGACGGCAACGAGGCGGCCACGAGGCGGCAGCGGGCGACAACGCGGCACGGCCTTGGCAAACCCACCTGGCACACAAGGCAGCAACGAGGCGGCAACCGGGCGTCAACGAGGCGGCAGGGTGGCGAAACCTCGCCGGACCCACCCAGCGGCAACGGGGAGCAACGAGGTGGCAACGGGCGGCAACGCGGCGAAACCCCCCAGGTCCCCGCCTCGCAGCTCCGGAGGCATGGGGGGCCCGACTTTTTCGATCGGGGGTTCGAGCATGTTGAAGGTGGTCTCAGGGCCACCTCTGGAACCATCTACGGGGCATCCAGGGCCATCTTTAAGGCCCTGGGCTGAGGCCAGCCCAGGAGACCAAAATCATGGAACAGCCTCAGGCTTTGTACATCATTTTAGCCGAAAATCGCCATTCGGCCCGAAGAGCGTCCAAGACGGCGCAAGAGGCCCCGAAAATCGCTCCAAGCAGGCCACCGAGGCTCCTGAGGGGGCCCGATGAGGCCCCCCGAAGCGGCCCCAAGAGAGGCCCGCACTGATGTTTCGAGCCCCCCCCCCCAAGATGACCCCCGAGACCCGGCCCCCAAAAGGCCCACTAAGAGCCCAGGAGGCCCAGAGAGGCCCCTACGAGGCCCTAACCCCCAATGGGGGCCCAGAGACGCCCCAGAGCAGCCACCTAGAGGCCTCCGAGATGCATCCTAAGAGGCCCAAGGACGCATCCAAGAGGGCCCCCCTTGTCAGGCGCGTCTGCCGTCTGGGCCTCGCGGCCAAACTGCCTCGAGTCCTTCCCCCGTGTGGTACGGCCGCGACGACGCCGCTCGGAAGCCCCCAGACGGAGTGGTGACCACACCGCCAGACGGTGTGGTGACCACACCGCGTCGCGAGTCCGTGCGCACTCGGGGCCACCGCACGGTTGTTTGGGGACCCGGG